CGGTTCAGTTCTCGGTTCCTGATAAAAATATGTACCTAGAACTGCCAAGGAACCATTATTTATAACAATTAAAATTTTATATATTTCTTATTAGTTGTTGGGCCGCGGGTATGCGGTGCCAGCAACGGCCAGCCTGCCGGTGCAATCGAACCGCGTGGCACTTCGCATGTGCTATAAAGGGGGAGGAGCGTGCTACACTATCAGCGATTGCTTTTAGTGTAGCGGTAAGCGCAACGATCCACAAGTGGTATCAGAGCCAAGGTCACGGGTTCGACCCCCGGCAACAGCATGTTGCGCAGTTGTAGGCTGGCAGGTGCTGGGGGGGAGATTGTTGGGCCGCGGGTATGCGGTGCCAGCAACGGCCAGCCTGCCGGTGCAATCGAACCGCGTGGCGCTTCGCATGTGCTATAAAGGGGGAGGAGCGTGCTACACTATCAGCGATTGCTTTTAGTGTAGCGGTAAGCGCAACGATCCACATTAGTATATATATATATGAAAAAAAAAATATGACATATCAATGTATATTTACTTATTTATTTTTATATTACATTGACTATTTTAGTTTAGTTATTTAAGTATTTAACATTATTATTTATTTTAACAGATTCTTCTAAGGCTCTTGGGCCTCTTATTAGATACCCAAATGGTCAGAATTGAGTGCTATGTTCGTGACCCTCTGAGATCATAATTATTGATTGTAGTGAATATGTTGTTTTGTTTTATTCACTAAAATTTTCAGTTTGGTATGTATTTATGTTTTAAACTCAACTTTTGAGGGTTGAAATGAAGGCAGACATATTTGTATTTCTTGTAATTTCAAACGCTAATTTTTTTTTTGCACAAATTTAATGACAATTTGTTAGATTTTTTTTAAAATGCTAGGAACCATTAAATGACAAGAACCGAGGCATTAAGAATGGTTCGGTTCCATATTGGTTCTTTAAAAAAATTATGAGAACCGAACCGTTATAAAGAGTTGATATTTTTCAAACGGTTCCATCTATTTTGCCTAGGAACCGAACTGGTCCTAGACCTATTTAATCTTATCATATCATCCCTCTCTCCTCTCTCCCATTTTACCCATCGCTTCTCATCTTATCTCGTCTGACCCTTCATCTCTCATCTCACCTTCCTCAAATCGATCCTTCATCTCTCGCTCTGTGTAAGCCATGAGAAACTCTCGCACTTCCTCGAACCTTCACTTATGGCTGAATCCTTCATATGTCCAAACCTTCATCTTCATCAACACTTCTTTGTGCTCATAGGCGTCGTTCAACTCCGATCTCCATGACCGTCATATCCATCGAATCATCTGAAAGAGAGTGTTGGTCCATCGTCTCCGATACTTATGTTGATATCCCCATGAACCCTTTGACCCCAACCAATCTATTTTGTCTGTCAAAATTACTGAATCTAGGGTTTTCGAACACTCAGATCTGCCCAATTTATCCATCCATGTTGAACCGGTGATGGCTGCAAAGACTTATGATGGTGTTGATGACGAAGACGAAGGGGAGGAAGTCACCTCTGGGGTTCGGGCGGAGGGCATGGAAGGGCGACATAGTGATGAAGATGAGATAGGTCGAGGTCCTGAAGCAACCTGTGCTCGTTACCCACCCTTGGTTGCTCCGCCGTACTACCAATGGTCGCCTTCATGCAAAGCTTCATTTAATAGCTGGCTCAAGTTGTACATGCCTAAGTGGGATCTTAAGGGCCTGTTTACTAACAGAAATATTTTCCAGTTTTCCAGAAAACTGGAAAACTGGAAAACAAAAAACAGGAAACGTGTTTACCCTAGAAATTCCTAGAAAACTAGAGAAAGGAAAAAAGAAAAACGCGTTTACCAAATCATTTTCCAAAACGGAAAAAATAAAACATGTCTCTCTTTTCCTTAATGATTTGGAGAAGTGACTTTTACTAGTTTTCCAAATTTGGAAAACGCAGATGCTACAGTGCCTTTGCAATGAATTTGCATACTTACACCTAGTGGTGGGTCCGGTCCCGCTCCGATGTCGATTCCATTCCGGTACCTCCATCCTCGTACCTTACCCCTTACCCCTACCCTACCCTGCCCACCCAACCCCCACCTTGCGTACCCATTTTTTCCTATAATGACCTTACCCCACCCCCCACCACATGCCCCGACCTCGGCCCCACCCCGATCCACCCTACCCTACCGCCACCCCCCTACCACCTCGACCCCACCTCGATCCACCCTACCCTACCGCCACCCCCCTACCACCTCGATCCCACCCCGACCCACCCTACCCTACCCCCACCCCTCATATATTACCACTTACCCCTACCTTACCCCTTACCACATGCCTCCTACCTCGGCCCTATCCCACCGCCATCCTACCCCCACCCTACCCTACATCGGCCCCACCCTACCACCAGGCCCACCCTACCGCCATCCTATCCCAACTCCTTACCCTACCCCTACCTTACCCCAACCCCAAACCCTACCCACTACCCCCACCTTTACCACCATCCTACCCCACCAAACCCTACCCTTACCGCCATCCTACCCCCCACCCTACCCCGGCCCCACCCTACCACCATCCTATCCCAACTCCCTACCCTACCTCTACCTTACCCCAACCCCAAACCCTACCCACTACCCCCACCCTTACCACCATCCTACCCCCACCCTACCGCCATCCTATCCCAACTCCCTACCCTACCCCCACCTTACCCCAACCCTACCCACTACCCCACCCTTAACCCTAACCACGACCCTAACCCACCCACTACCCCCACCCAACCCCTAGACCTTACCACCCCACCCCCACCCATAACTTCCCTACCCCGACCCCTACGAGTAGGTATGGGCGGGTATGAAGGGTTGTGGTGGAGTATGGGTAGAGTGTAAGATCGTGGTAAGGGTAGAGGTAGGGGTCAAGGGTGTGGCCGTGTGGAATTGGAGAACTGTGTGAAAAAATTGATGAACATGTTTTCAAATTTGAAAATGGAAAACTTAAAAATAGAAACAGAAAATTGGAGATAGAAAAACTGAAAAATAAAAACAGAAAATTGGAGAACGAAAAACAGAAGTAGAAAACAGGAAAATATTTCTGTTAGTAAACAGGCCCTAAGCTTTGGGACAAGCAGTTGTCGTAGGGGAGTACTCTTTCTATTCCTATGCTGTATTTTTGGTGAATTTAACATGCATTATGTGTGATTTTCTTTTGGCAATGATGAATGTGTTCTGGAGTTGATCTCTTTTTTGTGTTCTGGAGTTGATTTCTTTTCTGTGTCATTATTTCTTGTTCCCTTCCCTGAGTTATGTGTGATTTGGTAGTGATGAATGGATGTAGTATAATGTGGAGTTCAATTTTGTGTTGGTGTGTTAGCCACGCTGAATTCCTATGGGTTAGGGTGGCTTACCTTCCTACATTATGTGTATTCTGGAGTTCAATATTGTGTTGGTGTGCCTCACAAAAAAAATTGTGTTGGCGTGTTAGCCACCCCCATTTCCTGTGAGTTTGGGCGGCTGTTCTACCTCCACCTATGTATCTTGTGGTTTTTATGAATGACTAAGCATATTGTGGAGTTAGAGTCTTGGGGAGCAATGTCCATACTTGCCATGCCTGTAGGTCTGGGTTTTTTAAGTGGGTAAGGTCATGAAATAAGCATTACACTTTCTAATAAAGGCATACAAAAACTTGTGTTTGACTGATTACAATACATTTTTTTAGTCTATCACACACAACACCATATACCCCTTTTCAAAATGTGTAGTGAAGCAAAAAATCTAATGAAATGTTCCAAATGAGGTAAGGTGCCAAACATTTACACACAAAATCTTCACCGGATCCATGTTCAGTGATGAAGCTGTGGACCATCCTCCTCTACTTCTCCAGTGAACAGGCTATTACCAGTGTCTTCTGTAGATGGTCCCAACCGTGTTGTCCTTAGTTGCAGTTCTGCAATTGCATCATCATATACTTTCTTGTCTAAGAAAATTGACCTTGGTAGCTATCCATGTCTTTGTTAGGAATTGGGCCTAATAGACTGTTTGGAGTGGGCCTATTAAACCAAGTATAATAAGAAGTGTACTAGATTAGAATAAATAGAATAGGTTGGGAGAAGTCAAGGAGGCTGTTTTTAGACTTTGACTTTGGGACTTTGGGAGATCGAGAACTATTCTCTTTCTTTGGGGGGCTTCGGCTCATTGGGGGCTTCGGCCATAGTTTCTTGTACTGTTCATCTTCCTTAAAAAGAATTTCCAATTGTTTCTTGATAGTAATTTCCTGTAATTGCTGTATTTTCTGGAGGATCTTATCAATTGGTATCAGAGCGTGTTCAATCCCTGGATGAGAATTACGCGCGCTAAAATGGAAGGCAGAATTAACGATGTGGAGCGGAATCAGAGAGAGATGGAGACGAGGACTGAGAGGCATCTGCAGAAAATACAGAATACGCTGTTGGAGAGAATGGCGGCGATGCAAACTGACATCGCAAGGTTGCAGGTCAATCGATCGGGACGGTCGGGGAGCCATTCACATCGATCGAGTACGTCGCATCGATCATCTCACCGGCGTTATGCAAAGAATGACGATAGTTCAGAAAGTTCGGAGTATGAATCAAACCCTACAACCTATCAACATGATTCCGGACATCGTCGAAGGCACAAATATCATCACCATTCGCCTCACCATCATCGTTCACTTCACCATCATCGTTCAACTCACCATCATAGTTCACGACAAGCAACCAGCTCAGAAGGATCGGAAAACAATTCGGATTACTCTCCTTCACGTCGACATCAACACCGCGATCACCACAGGTATCATCGAAATCAGCCTCCGATAGGAAGGAAAATCGAATTACCTCTTTTCAATGGGGAAGACGCAGGCGGATGGTTAGTCAGAATGAATCGCTACTTCCGCTTGAATAGGACTGAAGAAGAGGATAAGATTGACGTTGCAGTCGTGGCCATGGAAGATCAGGCCTTAAGCTGGTTTCAATGGTGGGAGAGGCAGGCTACGCATCAAAATTGGAACTCTTTTACTCAAGCATTGACCAGACGCTTCCAGCCAGGCATGGTCAAGGATCCTCTGGGGCCTTTATTCAGTTTGAAGCAGAAAAATACCATAGAGGAATATCGAGACAAATTTGAGACTGCAATTGCTACACATGGACACTTAACTGAAGAGGTATTGAAAGGAGCGTTTCTTAAGGGCCTCAAGCGTGATGTAAAAGCTGAGTTGAAGCTATACTCTACAAGAACTTTGGCTGAAGTTATGGATGTGGCTTCTTTAATTGAGAACAAGAACTCTGAAGCCTTGATTGTTAAGAATAAAGAGGAAGAAAGAAAAACAGGACAGAGCTATCCTAAATGGGGAGATGGTAGTCGAAATAGTTATAATCTGGCATCTACAAATCAATTGATGAAGAACTCAGATGGTAGCAAGAAGCTGGAAGAAGGATCAAGTTCTGTTTCTATGAAGACAAGTCCCAGATTATCACAGAGTGAGCTGCAAGAAAGAAGTAAAAAAGGGTTATGTTTCAAGTGTGGCGAAAATTGGAACAGGGGTCACATTTGTAGAATGAAAAATTTTCAAATAAGGATGGTAGAAAAATCTGAAGGGGAGGAGGAATCTGATGTTGATTATAATAAAGATAATGAAGAAGGAAGACTACATATGCAAGCTAAGACTATGCAGTTATCTTTACTGAACCATGAAGAAATACCATTCATGAGAACATTCAAAGTCCTGGGAAATCTGAAATGGCTGAATGAGGAAAAGAAGGTGAATATTTTGGTTGATTGTGGAGCTACCCACAACTTCATATCACAGAAGGTTTTGAATAAATGGAAGATACCATTTAGTTGTATTCAGGGTTATGAAGTGCAGTTAGGGAATGGAGAATTCCTTTCCAACCATGGCAGATGTGAAGGAGTAACATTGAATATACAAGGAATTGACATACTGCAGAAATATTACATTTTGGACTTGGATGGAATTGATGTGATGCTGGGAATGGAGTGGTTAACTGGCCTAGGAGATATGGCAGTTAATTTTCAAAATCAAATCATCGAATGGGAAGTACAGGGGCAGAAGGTTAGTTTACAAGGAGATCAACCAATACGAATAAATAAGGAGATGAAGAGCCTGATAACTAAGAGTGGAGAAGGAACATTGATGAGCTATCAAGAGTTATCCATTGATATTAAAAAAGAAGGTGTTAAAAAACAAGAAGTGGCTGTCCTCAGTGCTGCAGCAGGATGTATCTTCACATTTACAGAACCTGAAAGAACCAAATTGTTAAAAGAAAGGGCATGGCATCTGTATAACTCTACTGTGAAAAACATAGGGAAGAAGATGGAAGCAGCAAAGCTCAAAACCCAGAAATCCATCCAGTATTGGAAAGGGAGAGGTGCTAGGATGAAGGAAAAGAAGAAGATGGTAGCTATGTCATATTACCCACCTTGAGGGCAATGTGGATGTTTTGGGGGGAAGTATTGTTAGGAATTGGGCCTAATAGACTGTTTGGAGTGGGTCTATTAAACCAAGTATAATAAGAAGTGTACTAGATTAGTATAAATAGAATAAGTTGGGAGAAGTCAAGGAGGCTGTTTTTAGACTTTGACTTTGGGACTTTGGGAGATCGAGAACTATTCTCTTTCTTTAGGGGGCTTCGGCTCATTGGGGGCTTCGGCCATAGTTTCTTGTACTGTTCATCTTCCTTACTAAGAATTTCCAATTGTTTCTTGATAGTAATTTCCTGTAACTGCTGTATTTTCTGGAGGATCTTATCAGTCTTGCTTGATTCTCTTTCCCAACGTGTGGCAGCTTGTAGTTATTCCCGCTGACCTTCAGAATCTCCTGCATCACAGTTTGGTAGGTCACCTATACTTTGTCCAATATTTGAGCACTCAACTCATCATATGCTTTATGAAAAATTTCAATTAACTGAGGCACTGTTTTAGCCCTGATCCTTCAGAGATTGGATAACCCTAAAGAACCCTAAGTCTAAAATGTTAAGGTCATGGGAATTAGGAGGTTAAATAACTAACTCTATTATGAAGTTGTCTGATGTGGTTGCCAATCTAAATTCATCATCAGTCCCATCTATGTGGGGTCTAACATTATCTTGTTGTATGATGATGCGTTTGTGTGCAAAGTGTGGCCACTTCTCTTTTATAGCAGGGATAATCTCTTGGATTATTATGTCTTTGACAAATGATTGGTGATACGGTTAAGTTGCTTAGTCTCTATGACCCCTGCATCCCTATTCTTTGACTTTCTTTGTGCTGCCTTACTTTCTGTGAAGGGGAACATACATATGTTCTCACAAACATGATTTTTGTAATAAATCTTTTGATTTGCAAGACCTGTATGGATCTTCTTCTCAGGCACCCAAATAAAATCTTTGTGCTATATTTGTCATGAAAACCATTCTTCACCAATATGAATGACATTTGAAAATTATTGAAATATGGGATTATTGGGAATAAAGTATGGTTGAAGTTGTTTTACACATAACTCCACCCTCTTGACTTTATTCCCATCATTCAGTAGTGGCTTAATGGCATTTGTATAACTTCTGACCCTACCCGCCTTAACCAATCTGTGTGTTGTGTTCTTGGACAATCCCAAGGCCACATCGAGAGACCTCATGATTGTTCTTTTGTGTAAAAGCCTTTAATGAAGTCATCATCATAGTGTATGTTTTTCCTTCCCACTTTACATGCCTTCTGGATTTGAACATCTATAGGCAACCCAGGTTGTATTTGCTTCTTTGCTATGTTCCAGATTTTGCTCACTGTTCTTGTTGTCACACTGAACTCCGCAACAAGTTTGCTGATTAAGCCTCTTTGAACATCAAAACTTGAAGTGGTTGTATGTTTTTTATGTCATTACCAGTTGTTGAATGATCATGTCCTTTTCTGCATTACTCAGATTTGTCCTCCTCTTTCCTTGGTCATTTGCATTTATTTCTTCCGTAGGAGGTGATTTGCATTGAATAACACAAGCGGTTGAGTATTTGTAGTATTAACTGTTGCGGCTTCCATGCGGAAAGCTATTCCACATGTGAGGGTGATGGATGTTGAGGAGAAATAAAGGCTTGCTGCAGCTTCCAGACAAAAAGCTCTGCTATGGACTGTTTTGTAGTGCACTGTAGTGAGTTGAAAAATATTATGGAGAAAGTAAAAAGTTCCCTCCATTTTGTAACTTTGCTTCAATTGTTGTAATCTTTCCTTCTATATTGGGTAATGGGTATTGTAGCACAACCGAAATGTAAGGTAGTGGGACATGATATTAAATGCAACCATTTCTTTTTAATTTGTACCGATCACCGCCAAAATCACAACCTTTCTCCTATTTTAAAAACATGGGCATTAAGAGTAGCTCACTTTAAAAATGTCACTTTCTTAAGAGCCGTGAAAAACCAAATAAGACGTTTATTTTGGGACAAAGGGGGTATGATAGTATAATACTAGACCGTCATCCGATCAAGTACCAGATGAAAATGAGGCGCAAAAGTCGGATTCAGATTACATTGAAATGATATTATGATGAGAAAATCAATAAAAAATGAAATTATTATTAATAGCTTGTCAAAAAGTTAATTTGATATACACATACACAAAAGGGGGGTTCTAGTCATGGGCATAAATAGGCAAGGGGCCTGAGTCGCATCCCAATTTTGATTATACTTATATTTTTACATGTGTAAATTTATATGAATTGATATAGATAAAATTGTCATATTGATTAGTTGTGCTTAATTTGATGATAAGTTTGTTAAGACGAAAACATAGTTTTGGAAATGAGCTTCAAGTATAATTTATTTTATTTAAATGTTAACGATAAATATAATAAGCACGGTCAATTAGCAGGAAAATTTGATCACGAGCTTAATTTCTTTCTTTTTTTGTTGTCTTCTTTTGTTTTTTCATGCACAAACAGTTTAGGAGTAAATGAGAAAAAAAGGAAATAAAAATCGAAAAGTCGTCAATTATAGAAACTCATAATTTCAGTCCACACAACAGACTATAAAACTCCCTTTATCTCTCTCCCATTCACTCACTCCCCTCCTCCCATTACATTCCTGGAGTGGAAGAACAAAGGATTGCGGAGGCAGAGTCGAGGTCAGATCCGCTCTGAAACGATCTCCTCTGTTTCTAACCTCGCCGCCCCCGTCCTTTCTCGACAATGGCGGAGCTTCCGCTCACCGGCGGGATCACTTTCCGGGGACCGGCGGCGGACATAGCAGCGCAAATGGGGCTGATGTGGGAGCTCATCAAGGTGCCACTGATAGTGCCTCTGCTCAGGTTATCTGTTTACATTTGTGTGGCGATGACGATAATGCTTTTCTGCGAGAGGCTGTATATGGGGATTGTCATCATTCTGGTGAAAATTTTCGGGAAAAAACCTGATAAAAGGTACAAATGGGAGCCAATGCGTGAGGATTTGGAAATCGGAAATGCTTCCTTTCCGATGGTCCTTATTCAGATCCCCATGTTCAATGAAAGAGAGGTCTGTTATTTTTTACTTTTTTACTTTTATACTTTTGTGTTTTAGGCCCCGTTTGGTCAGTAAAACTGTAAAATTTCATCAGAATGACTTGGTTTTGGTAAAAACAGTATATCAAATTGTATTACTTGAGGGTGTCTTAGACTACTAACTAGAATAAACTGAGTTAGTGCCAGTAATCCATTTCCTGCCTTGATTTACTCTAATAATGTTTTTTTTATCTTATTAAGTTATACGATAGTAAGTTATTAGCATACTCTGTATTACATTTGGAATATAATAAGCTCAAAATAAGCAGATTCAATTTATTTTAGTTTTAACAAACAAAGCATTCTGAATTTGTTTTTATTACTCTAACAAACATTTCGTTTTCGAAATATCAAATCAAAAAAACAGTCTTAAATTTCAATTATTTTGTCAAACATACTTTTATTTTGCTCTGATTTTAAATATCAATTTTCATGTTTGTAAGTATTAACTTTTAGTAATTAATTAATACTAATTTAAATATAAGCAGCAAGCATAAAACATGATCGTTGTTCAATTTTATTGATGCTTAAAATTGTACGCACTACAATTTTAAGCATCAATAAAATGATATTACGAAATTGGACTCATTGTTGTTTCACTGTCCTTTTTTGGTAAGGGACATCTCACATGTGCCTAAAATGGATTAACCTGCTGATGAATATTGAGATTAAGTGGAATTGTACTGCCAAGGATAGCTCAAAGACTTGTTTGGTTAATATTATTGGAATGAAATTGTTGAATCTGTTATTTTTGGAAACTGTCAACGCAGTTAAAAAAGTAAAGTCAAAAGTTACTGAAGTTACGGCAGCCAAACGGAGCCTTAATTTCTGCAAGATTCACGAATTTCGGGCATTTCGAGAATCCCAAGACTAAGTTTTTTTCTTTTGGTCCAGGTATATAAGATCTCCATTGGAGCAGCATGTAATCTTTCTTGGCCGTCGGATCGAATTGTTATTCAAGTTCTTGATG